TTAAAGGTAGGGGTAAGGTCTGCGTACACACTACCCTCCCCAGACCCCACTTGTGGGAATACATTAGGTTTGTTGTTGTTGTTGCATTATTATAATTACAGATTGTTTCTTTTGTTATCTTGTTGCAGATTGATATATATGTGAAGGTCATTAAAACAGTGCCTTTAAAGGTTAAGAAATGGGATACTATTAAATCTGTCAAAACATTGTTATATCACAAGGAAGGTGTACAAGAATATCATCAGGAGCTCGTTTTCGCTGGTAATCAGATCAAGGATGATCAAAAGCTTTTTCATTTTGGCATTCACCAGAACTCTTGTATCGATGTTTATGTTAAGAGTTCAGAGTCGCTAAGATTGTTTGTCACAATACCACATTCTGAGATAACCGACGTGATTGAAGCAAAGAGTATTGACAGAATCCAGGACATCAAGGACTTGATTGGAGCCAAACATGGCATTCATTCTTATCAATATGTTCTAGTCTATGACGGAAAGTTGCTAGAAGATGACAAGACCTTAGCTTTTCTCAAAGTTCCATCTGAATCAACGTTGCATATTTTGTTTGTTAGAAGCGAAAAGTTGTTGGTTTCAGTGAAGATGCCTAGTGGGAAAATTTCAGAATTAGAAGTCAAGTTATGGCACACTGTTAATGATCTTAAAACTCTGCTCGAAAGACAACTTGGCTACTCACTTGGCGTTTGTACTTTGTTGTACGAAGGTAAGAAACTCGAGGATTCAAAGATGCTATTGTCATATAATGTTGAACAAAGATCCAGGTTCGTGTTGATGTCTCCGTTTATTCAAGTATTCATTAAGTCAAATGGTGGAAGTATGACCCTGGACGCGCTCCCAACGGACTTGGTGAGAGACCTGAAGTTGAAGATTCTTGACAAGGCTGGAATACCAATAGATATTCAGAGTCTAGATTTTGAGGGAAAAGTTTTACAAGATTCCAGGAATTTAGCCAGCTATAATATCCAGAAAAACTCCACCATTCGTTTGGCTTTATGGAAAAAGCACGTTCGCGCCCATTGATGTTGTTACTATTTAACCATGTTTTTGCTTCTGGTTTTGGGATCATTCACCATTGAAAGAGATGTGGTACTATTTGAGAAAATAGAGTTGTATGTTCAAGCTAGTATTTTGAGAACACAACATGCTTGTATCCATATATTAAGATTGTTTTCTCCCTGCCCTTTGGTTATCTTATAAATACTTATATAGTTAGTCCAAAGAGGTCTGATGTTTTGTTCTGAGACTTAATATACAGGAGTTTGATGTTTGAGTTTATCTGAAGTTTCTTCACAAGTCTGTAGACTTTTTAAATTTTAAATTTGGATCATTTTTCAAGTTGTGTGTTTTATTCTTGAGCAGGGCGCATACTAATCTTCTCAGTGTCATTCCAATTTTTTTATCGGATGTCCGTGAAGGGATAGATTTGTAGACTTGATTCTTGAAGTTGAAGGATTTGATAATTTAAGAAGCGAGTATTATATACACCTATTGGTTATTTGCAGTGTCGTTCCAAAGATTCACTTGAGGTGCGCTTAAGCCCTGAAGCTATGTTTTAAATGAGTACTTTGCCTCCCTTAAGGAGCCCGGAACCAAAATGTGGTTCTTTTGGACTCAAAGAACAAAAATATGTGAAAAATTTATATAGTGACAATAATATATATAGCGTCTTTTTAAAAAACGCTATACCTTAACGGTCGTTTGGCCAGTTAAGTATAGCGTCTTTTAAAACGACGTTATATATATAGCGTTTTTCACTAAAACGCTATATGTATTATGTGGGCCCACAAATAATTTTTCTGGGCTTAATTGACATAACAATAATTCAACTGGGTATAGCGTCTTAAGTTAAGACTCTATACCTCAAATAATTCACCCCTCAGAATGGTTTTTGCCTTATATAAGGACGTTAAGGATTTTGTAAAAATCCATTCAGAAATACTCTAAGTGTTGTGAAATTTTTGTTTGTTTAGTTGTTTTACATTTTGTCATAATATCTGAAGAGCGAAGAATTATGGTTTCATTATATTGGGATTTGGGGGGGGAGGGAGG